AAACTGCAGTCACCCAAGAAAACGTTGATGCTGTGCGTAAGCTGATTGAGGAAGATCGACATGTGACATACCGCGAAATTCAGGCAACTTTAGAAATTAGCATGAGTCAAATACAAATAATCTTGCATGAACAATTAGGTGTAAAAAAGTTGTTTTCCCAATGGATACCGCATTCGCTCTGTGAAGAGCAAAAAGCGGCTCGCGTTACTTGGTGCGTCAGAACTCTCGAAAAATTCCACGCAACATCGTATCAGGTGACGATTCCTGAATATACGCGTACGAACCCGAAACAAAAACCAGTCACGGGTTTGGGTGATCGAAATTGAGTTAAAGCCAACAAAAATTGTTCGTTCATGGAGTGTTATAAAAAAAATGGTGGCCACGTTTATCTCCAAAACCAGCCATGTTACTACTATTTCTCTTGAGGGACATAGAACGGTTAATGCAGAATGGTATGCTAGCATTTGTTTGCCACAGGTCGTTTCTGAACTCCGTAAAGAGAACTGCAACCGCCGCATCATCCTCCATCACGACAATGCGAGTTCTCACACCGCACACAAAACAAAAAGAGTTTTTAGAGCAAGAAAACATAGAATTATTAGACCATCCGCCGTACAACCCTGACCTAAGTCCTAATGATTTCTATACTTTCCCTAAAATAAAGAATAAATTGCGTGGACAGCGATTTTTATCACCTGAAGAAGCTGTGGACGCCTACAAAACGGCCATTTTGGAGATCCCAACTTCCGAATGGAATGGTTGCTTCAATGATTGGTCCCATCGTATGGAAAAATGTGTCAAATTTCGCGGAGAATACTTCGAAAAGCAATAAATACATTTTTAAATAGTAATGTTGTGTCACTTTCTTGATTCCCGAAATTTTCAGTGCCGCCCTCGTATAGTTATATTAAAGGTATGGTTATAGAACGAATGTGTCGGCTCGACCCAGGAAGGACCACGCTCTAACAGGATACCAGCGTAAAATAGTAGCTTAATGTTGCTGTGTTTCGTATGGTGAGTGTAGAGAACCGGAGATCCTTTTTACTGTAAACGAGGCATTCCATCTTAGTCTTCACGGGTGACAACGCTGATATTTTGTGAGAGCGTGGTCGAAGTATCATTATTAAACGGAAGATGTTTTTATTTACGAAATTATTTTAGGCTACAGGGCTCTATAACATACCGACGTAACATGCCTTCTCTTTTATATAAAAGACAACAAATTGATCTACCGACCCAAGTAAAGTCTAGTACAAGTCACAAGTGCATATTTTTTGAAACTGCAGTTTTCAATCAGTCAATGATCTACATCAGTCAATAGAAAGATATGTATGTCAAGCAATGTTACACCTGGTGATGATAATAATAATTTTTTATTACTAAGTACATATTTTATCTACAATATTTATTAAATTCAGTCCAATATAAACTAATTAATAAATTCGACTCAAAAATATTTCTTGTTTTCTAATTATTAATTCTTTCCAATTTCACTTTCTCACCTTCAAACTTTTCTACTAGGAGGCACTAAGGACGATGAATGCTAAGATTGCCTCTGCCTTTAAGAGGTGAGAGTAAGTCAGCTCAAATTCTAATTTCGCCCCCCACTTCCCCGCGCGTCGTATGCTATGTACCGACATGTTTGTAATCACTAATACTCTAAGTAGATAGGTCGTTAGATACTTATTTCACTATGTTTATCATATATATGCCTGTTTCTTAACGCCAACCCAGTCGCTTCTTATTTTTATAACGGTTATTTCCCATTTTAATTTTACGTCTTCCTGTTGCGTAATGTGTTTTCTGATCGTAAGCGACACAACTTCTCCCTTCAAAAGCCGGAGCAATACTAACGGAGCGACAGGAACCAAGCTTACGCGCCGATAGTTTAGGTAATTTCTTTTTACAGTGAAAATAATGATATTTTAAAAAAAGTAAATAACATAAGCACTGCTTTATAGTTAGTTCAGTTAGTATGCAAAGTTTCATGATCTTGTTTAAAGTATTTTATGAATAACAGCGGTTTATTGTTCAGTTTGGAGGTAACTTTGGAATTTTTTTCTATCGAGAAAATTTTACGGAATCGTGTTTTCGTCTAACATAAACCTTAACATTAATCCTCAACTTTACCATATATTTATTTCAAAATTAATGCTGCAATACTTTCGGCATAACGGAGGATCTTGCTAAGCCATTTGAGGTTATATTTCCCCTTAAGATGGAAAAATATTTTATTTCTTCCCACAAATAAAATTATTTTACTTTTAGCGTTTTTTTCATATGGAGATCGAATATCGATAGTGGTTACAAAAAAAAACTAAATACGTTATCGTAAAAAAATATCTCAAAGCTTTTATACCTAGCCCTCTAATGCCCCATTTACATTCAGCCCGTTTGGGCAGGGAAGTGAGCAGGGCAGTGAGCAGGGCAGTATGTAAACAGGCTACTCGCGCTGACACTGCCGCTGCCGCTGACACTGCCCGAAATGTCGGTTTTTCGTGCGGAAGTCAAAGGACGGGCAGCGCGAGCGGCAGTGTGTGTTCACATTCAGATTCAGCTCCATCGATCACTAGCGGTGGGTAGTAGCGGCTTTTTTGAGTAACGAAACGAAACTATCTATCGAATATCAATAGCGGCTTTTGAAACACTCTATTTTAATAGAGGGTTTTGAAACACTCTATTTTAATAGCGGCTTCAATAGTGTTTCACGACGTGTTTAATTGAAAAACGTTGCGAATGAAACGATGTCCGTTTCACGAGAAAACTTGTTTGTTACCGTTTCGTATAGAATTAGACATGGTGTTAACGGTTAGATTTATTTATTTGTTTAATCATTTCGCACGGTTTGATAAAAATATCACTTGAAAATATTTAACGGCAAACGATTTATTTAATAATTATGATTATGATAAATTCACCCACAAGTTCAGCATAAAATATTGAATATAAGTTTGATTTTATAGCAAATAATTATTACAATGCTTATTTTTAGACATCTCAAGCCTACATTTTTATGTAATAAATCAAATTAATACATGTATTGATGTTTTTATAGAATATTGGTCTTCATGGTTGTAGTACCTTTTGTAAAAAAGTCCCAAAGTACACTGGCATTACTTCGAGATATTTTTGATGACTATCACATAAAGTTTTAGTATTATTTTTACACTTAGTTAATTACACTAATTACTGTACAATTATTATTATTAACCCTAATATATGCAATTGTATTTAGTTCTTATTTTACTAAAAATATTATTATTATTGCACAAAAAAGAAAACAAAAATATTAACAAACGCGCCTAAAAAGTAAAAACAAACCGTGTCATTAAACTTAAATACAAGACTAATTTAAACCGGGCCAAGGTCACTTAAATTATGGAATTTGAACAATTTTTTTTCACACTTACTTCTCATTTCTAATATCGCATCTATACGACGGGAATAGAGTCATAGGTCAAATGCAAAAGCACCCGCGCTCACTCGACATTCGACGACGGGTGGTACTTCTACCACAGCGGAAAGAGTCAGTTTCTTTACTTATGTGCTTCTACTTCAACAGACGAGGCCGTTGCCGATGCGTCGCGAAAATAGCCGAATAAACGTTTTCCCCGCCGATCGTACGCCGATCGCTCGTTCGTGATTCGTGAAACATGAATCGTGTTACTGAGTAAAACGTCTACTGTAATAGATAGTTTCGTTGCACTGCAATAACCCGCTACCCGCTATTGTGTGAATAGATAGTTTCAGTAACTAGTTACGTTTTGTAACGACCACTCTTATCGATCACTTCGCGACAAGCGCCTGGATGAACGGACGTGCGTGCCGTCCTGTTATTAAATAAATACGATCTACCAAAATGCCTTTCGAGTGGATTAATGAAAATACAATAAAGTTTTTAGAACTGCTGGAATCAGAAAAAACTATATGGGATTTCAACGATAAAAACCACAATTCATCATCTTCTACGAATACGAATTTTCTTTTTGAGTTAACATAGTATCTATGTACATAATTAATTATAAATTCGTCAAATTTATTATATTAATATAAAATTTAGTTTAAGGAATTAATGAACATTGACATTTTATTTCTAAAAACGATTAGTAACTCATATTGATTATTTATTAATTAAAATGTAAAATAAGTTAAAAGGTAATATTTGCATAATAGCCTGAGATTTTTAAATTATAATTTTATTGTAATTAAAATTACGAATTAGTTTATACTGAAGTGTAATTAATAAAATAATAATAGCTTAACTAATCTCATATAATATTTAATATTATTTATGTAACAATAATATAATAATTCAATTAATAATAAATGAACAATTTACTGTATAAGAATTCAAATAGAGTGGATCTGTATAAGTATTTAATTGTACATAATACTTGAATTCAAAAAGAATGTGTGTACCTAACTTTTAAGCCAATTTAACATCGGGTTTGTGTAATTAGCTGTATTTCATATCATTTTTCCATGCCAATTGTGGCAAAACATGTCAGTTCAACGTCATTGATCATCTTATTCAAAAATCTATCTATCTATCTTCTTTTGAACTTGATATCTTTTTAAATTATTAACATAATTTTGTATTGCAAGAAGACACAGCGCGGACGCTGTAATTATTTCGACGTCCGCCATAGTCGAAAGCCGAAAGCAGTGTTGCCAACCCGAATTTTAGAAAATTTGTAGATTATGTGCCAAATGTTGGTAGAAGTTGGTAGAATGTAAAATGCAAAATTGGTAGATCTACCACCTCAATTCAGAAGATTTTTTAAGATTAAAAATGCATAAACTGTTCTTAAAATGTTTATTTTTGGAAATTATACTTATTTTTATTGAAAAATTTTAAATGTTCTGTGCTAGGCTGCCCATTGTTTGCTATGAATCTTTTAGTACGCAACAACCGCTCTAGAGTCTCCGTGTAAATTTTATTTCTCTGGAAGGTTTTCATAATATTAATTGCAGAAAACAATCTCTCAACGTTGGCACTACTATGTGGAAGTGTGAGTAATTTTCTCACGAATTCGCATAGCAGGGGGAAACATTGGAGACCGGTCTCCTTTTTTAATGGATGAAACATGCTTCCAGAATTCTTCAGGTGTAGGATCCACATTTTTTTCTGTGAAATGAAATGTCATGTTTCTTAATAATCTCCACTCTCGGTCCAATTCGGTCATGTTTTCTGCGCATAGTCCTAAAAATAAAAATGTAATGTAAATAAAAAAATATTCTAGAGTGGACAATATTAATAACTAATTATGTTTAACTTGCCTGGAAACTGAACTCCTAAATGAGCAATAGTTGCGACTGCATGTTTTTCAATGATATGTTTAGGATTCATAAATTTAAGACATTTTAATCTTTGCTTTTCATCAAAACAAAAACGCTGCTTTATTTGTTTTACACTCTCCATATAAAAGAGAATGCACTTTTCTTTAAACTGTACTATTTCCATTTCATTAATTCTAGCCAGAAAGTCTTGTTTCAATAACAGGGAAATAACATTGCCACCAAGGTATATTTCTTCAATTGGTACATGGTTTTGTTTATTTTCATATTCTAAATTCAAAATTTTGTTCTCTAAATCCAAGTTAAGATCCTTGCTACTGTTTTTTTCACCTTCAGTCAGCTGCAGTAATTCTGGTTTAATAAAACATTCCAAGATAGTTTTGTATGTTGTAAAAATCCGTTCATATAACAAATAAAGTTTAGGACTTTCTGATTGCATTTCTTTATTAATGTCATGGAAATAGAGCAACACATAATCCAAAAAATTTAAATATAGCTCTGTTGAAGGATCCATGGACTTCACATGAATGCTCTGAGCCGCAAGTAGCCTGTCATTCAAAACAGCATTTTGGAAGTATAACTTTAAAGCTGGAAGCTGTTCTAAAAGCCGTTTGACCACAGGAAGTAGAGACAGCCATCTTGTTTGAGCTGGGTGTAGAAGTTTGTGGGGTTTTATATCCAGAAAGGACTGGAATTCTTTATAGTCACCCAGACGTTTTGGGCTATTTTGAATATAATTGTATACATCTCTTGCAAAATCCTCCACACCCCTCGGAAGAGTTTTGCAGGCATAAGAAGCACACAAATGAAACGAGTGGCAAATGCACTTCATCATGAATAAATGTGGGATCTCATTTGCAAATAGGGTGGACAATGAATGGTGTGAACCAAACATAGTATTTGCACCATCTGCTGCAAACCCAATCATGTTCTCTTTGTAAGGAATATTTTCATTATCAAAATATTCTTTGCATATATTATGTAATGCTGAGGCAGTGCCCTCTACAATTGGTATTAAACATAAAAAACTATCTTCCACATTGAAATCTACTGCTGTTCTGGCAATGAGCGCCAAGTGTTTTGTTGTTGATTTGTCTGTGCTTTCATCAACAATCAAAGAAAATTTTTCAGTTTGTAAAGTCTTAACTAATTCGCTGTGAGATAATTTTCCTGTTACATTTGTAACAATGGCTTGTGCCTTAGTTTTTTCGAATGTAATTTCTTTGGCTATTTCAGAATCCGAGCAAACATTTTGAATAAGTTTCTTTAGGTCACCTGAAAAATAATATTATTTGAATACCTATAGTCTTAATTAAAATTAATTTGTTGTGAATGAAATACAACAAAACATAGCCTACTTTTATTAAATAATGAATTTGTAGACCAAGCCGCAAGCATACTAACCAGCAATGTTAAAAGGTAGATTATTTTTTGCCAAAAAACAAGCCATTCTTATTTCTCCAAATTTGATTTTATCCTCAAATGACTTTTTTGACTGAGTTTTCCCAAACTGGGTGATTGATAGTTGACTTGCTATACCTGAAAACAAGTAGTTAACTTTTTAAAAGATTGGTGTTTTATATATTTAAAAAATAGATAAAACGAAATTGCGTAAAATTAGGATTTAAAATATATACATGCATAATCATAGGCAAGTAATTTCGTTTGTAAAATTTTAATTAATTATTCAATATTAATTAAACTAAACTGAGCATAAAACCACGAAATAGAAGTTCACCTTTCACACATGCTACATGCTTTAAACTATTTGCATGTTTATTTAGAATAAATCTTCCACCAGCACACTTAAGATCACACCTACATGATTTGCAATAAAAATATCCTTCACCCTTGGTACTTTCTTGAAGCCAACCTGCAAATTCTTTGTCTTTCTCCCATAATTTCGAATATTTTTGGTCATAGTGCCTTTTTCTAGCTTTTCGTGGCGGAGTTCCTAACCTAGAACTCTGTGCATCGCTTTCGTTGCTGTCAGAATCCATCATATAAATAAATGCACGCAACACAGGAACAAACAGCAATCAGCACCGTTAATACGTAGTTATTTAGTTTTAACAACAAAACAACACAAAACAGGAGCAAAGACTTTGATTCCGTAACAAACCAACCGGGAATGGGCCACAGAACAGTATAACAATGTCTATGGGCGCGAAATGGCACGAACGGCGAACTGGTGCTGACGTTTTTTTTCTTGTGGTTTATAGCCTGGACTCTATCACTCTGTATGTATGCTTGACCAACGTTAGTTTCTCTATCTAGTCTGTGTGCTTGACCGCTTGACGCATCAGCACATGGCTCACGCAACACATCGCAACGTCGCTCGTCGATATAAAAATAATTCAAAGTGGTGATATGTCAAAGTCAAACTAATTTAAAAAATAGGTAGTTTTTAGATCTAGGGTGGTAGATAGGTAGACTGAAGTGAAAATTGGTAGATCTACCAAAAAGTTGGTAGATATGACATCACTGGCCGAAAGCGATGTGAGTGGCAGGGCAGAGTGTGAATACACACTTTCCGCGATCCTGCTACGGCAGTATTTAGGGAAGTATTGCCGGCAGCGCGAGGAGCAGTGGCAGTGGCTGAATGTAAATGGGGCTTTACGTTTTGGCAACTTTACGCAAATTTAGGTATTTTACGCTCCGAGCGAGCGACGACCTACGCGAGATTTTATTTCATAATATCTATTTACTCGCTCGCACTATGATACCGTGCTAAACGATCTTGATCTTCCATTATACAAGTTTTCTTAGGATGGAGTTCAGTGGATGGAAAAATTTTGATGTGTAATTTTTCTGTTATCTTATTAATTTATTTTAATCTATTTGATATATTTTTCAATATTTATGTACACATGTCCAAACTCGACAAACGCTCGCACGGTAATGATTTCGGATAGCCGGCGCAGGGAAATATATAGTTAGTTTATTTAATTCATTGAAAAATAATAGTAACGATTTAAAAAGTGGAAGTCGGGTATTAATAATAAAATAAATAAAACGGATTTTATCGCGTTTTATTTATTTTATTATTAATACCCGACATAAAAATAAAATAAATAAAACGCGATAAAATCCGTAAAAGTAGTTTCAATCAATGTGTAGTGTTCGCGTAAATATAAGAGATTATTTTGGTATAAATTTTACGTCAAAATGATGTAGAGCTTCGGAGATATTGGGGCTTGTATCGAAGCTTTTTTGGTCGTTAATCGAATTATGTCGATTTTTTTCCTTACGGGGAAGGCATATAACGAAAATGTATTCTATCATTATTAAAGAATAGGGTACTAGAGAGATAAAAATATTTTTTTATTGTTGATATTCAATAGAATCTACAAATTAGAGCTCTCAAATCATGTCTCCCAGAGTTCTGACCTAAACATGCATCAGGAGAATGATTATTACTAAATAAATAAATAAGTTATCTAAAATTTGTTCTGAGCTTTTTTTTAGTAGAAAACGAACTATTTTTACCAAGTAATTGCTATTTCAAGCAACGGACGGAAAACATATAATTTCAACGAGGAAACCTTGTAATTTCGCGTTTTTATGTAGTAATACTCCTCTTAAAAAAGATTAATATAATATGCTTTATTTTTATACTAGTCCACGCGAATAAAACGTAAAAATAATTTGATTTTGAAATCGTTTTTATAAATGGTTGTTATTCTAATATACTGAACATGTCAATGACGTCATACATGAAATAAGCGTTTAAATTATCTTATATACTACCTTTAAACGAGCAATTCTTATATATATATATATATATATATATATATATATATATATATATATATAATCGGAATTTCGGAAACGGCTCCAACGACTTTCATAAAATTTAGTGTCCAGGGAGTTTCGGGGGCAATAAATTGATCTAGCTAGGATTCATTTTTAGAAAATGTAATTTTGTCCATGTTTTTAGGCAATGAAAAACTGCTACAATATAAGAAGATAAATTTTTACAGTGTATTTATGATCGTAATAGCTCAAGGGGGATATCCGGCGGTTGTGAAATCGAGGTGCCCTGGTTCGCGTCCTGGTTTCGGTCCGACGTTTTTTCTTGAAAAATCTTGTGAGAAAAGCTATTATTTCGAGCCCTATTTTAGTATTTTTGTAAAAACACGAAATTTAAGTTAAACTAATTGCACTCATGATTTTTTCATACAGGTACTAATATTGAATTGCAATAAAAGGTACATTAATATTTTCACATGAAGTACAATGTATGTTTTAGTAAATCTTGAATAAATCGCACCCTACCCTACCCTATTATCAGAAAGTTCATAGTTAAAAAAGTTTCTGTTCTGATAACTTTGATAACGACATTTCACTCTCGGCCTAGCTGATCGCGGCGGCAAACGTGACTTCCAGTGGCCCTCAAATCGCGCCGCGCGAATTTTCGCCCCGCCTGTCGCTTCGCCGTTCGCGCCGCCGTTCCCCGTGGCCAGGCCGTTCGTCCTTTCTGGTGACAACGCATCTACATTTTGATTCGTAATCGAGGATAGATGTAGATGTCTATGGGCCACAGTATCCAATTACCATCAGGTGGACTATGTGCTCGTACACGTACGTATGTGGATAATCTATATAAAACGAAACTTAGTTTTTCGACATTTTGTAGCATAATGATAGAGACAAGTTAATTTGCGCCAAATTATCTTGTCACAGTTGTACTTCATAGCTAAGATGCGAAGGGTACGCTCATTTGTAACCTCCACAAAGTCTTAAAACCAAGTGAAGTATAGTGTGGTGTTTCTGGATAATATAATCTGATAAGATGTGAACAACTTTCAATTATTTGCCAGCTAAAGTCTGTATTTCTCCATGTCTTGAATTTTCGCCATAACATTTTCAATAGTATCAGAGGCTTCAACTTCTAATGTCTATATATAAATAAGCATAGTTAAGCTTTACAAAATGTATCCAAATAAACTGACACAGGTAGCTATTTTCTTTCAATGTCCTAGGAGCCATTTCGGTTTCCACCTCCTATTTTTGTGGGTGAATCCGAAGTACAGGAAAAGTTTAATTTTTAATAAAGTGGTCTAATCTAGCAATTTTTTGTACTTACAAGAAAAATATATAAGTTTCTTCTTTATATGGAATTTCTATTAAAACTTTTAAATCATGGAAACCCTACATTAATTAGTAGCGGAGGACTATAATTCCCCGATTTTGAAAAAGTTTATCCATACTTTAATGTTTACTAACACTAGTTTATAAGTCAATTGTTACTAACACAACTATGGATTAATTTTGGTCCGAAATAAAGAATATTGTTATTATTATTGTGGGGTATCTATATAGTTTTCTCATCTGGTTGGGTTCTATAAATATATAATTATAAATGAAAATGAAAAGATAAATATACATAAATATCAATAACATAAAATAAATATAAAAGTACATATATAAATAAAAGCCCAACCAGATGGAGGCCCTCGGCAGGGGGAGACCAAACGGCCGAGGGTTAGGAGGAAAGGGAAAGAAACCGGCGGACGATGCGGGCGGTATCGAGGAGCACCGCCTTCTGCATTTGAACCTGGAGCGGTCCGCCACGTAGTCCCAGTCGCCTCAGATGACCCGATTATTATTATTATTATTATTATTATTAATCATATGGCTAAACGTGGATTGAAAAAATCATTAAACGTTAATGTGTGAATGATATGGTCAGTTATCAGTAATACAACGATTTCATGAAATAGTCGACCACATTATGATCTGGCCATGACATATACTATACTCGTATAATATATGAAACAATTTGTAAAGTCGTATAATATTATCGTTAGGTGATATTCGTAATCGTGACGCTTGTGACCGTGTTAGCTATAATTAAATAAAAATTAGTATACTGCGCTCATTAAATATAGCTTTTGTTTCTTCAGTTATAACATAAACCTAACACAGAACGAATGACCCAGTATACGCAGATTACAGACAAAGTAGAATCGATAGGTAATAGTTATTACAATTAAGACTAGTTTATAACGTTATATCATCTAGACTAGTACAATCATTCAGAACTGTGTAAAAATTTAATAGAATTACTGACCGAATAAAACAAGGTAAGTAATATTGGAGACTAATATTAATAAGGTAGGTAATATTGGAGTGAACTATAACACTCTTTGAATAAAGCAGTATGGAGCGATCTTTGAGATGAGGCAGCAGGCACCAGACTTAGTAAAGGTCAATGACACACCGCTGTAATAGCAGAGTCCACATAATTGCATCATTGCATGTCGTGTTGAGGTAGGGCAGAGGCTGACGATGCGCGGGCGTGACGTGAACCAGACTAAATAGCCGAAAAAGTGCGTATAAACGTAGTGATTTATAATATGTATTCTTTGTAGAACAAAGATTATTTTAATGATACTATTAATATTGATATCTAACATGACAAGCAAGATTTAGATTGTAGATGAAACAAAAGCAACTTTACGGATTTATGCAACTTGTTAACTTATTTTTCCTTATTTTTTAATTTGCGACGTTTTGAGTGCTTTACCTTTATTACAGCACCGGTGGTTACGGGGGAGGCGGGTTAAATAAGTTAAATAACTTAAATTAAACGCGATAATGTTCATTAAGTTTGTTTAATTGAATATCAAGTGTTCGTGTGCTTCAACATAACAACATTAATAAATTTTGTTCCGTTCTAAATTTGCTAAATTCGATCACTATTAGGGTCACCTCACTGTCTGTCTTTCTTTATGTCCGTTTGTCAAAGATTTTTTTGAATTCTCGAAGATTATATTTAATGGAGATATTTGGCATAGATATAATATGTTATAGAAACACGTGCATAAATAAGTTTTTCATAATAGCATTAATATCTTATGCCTATAATCACCTGCTACCTATTTTTATATCAGGCGTGTCCTCCGATGTATCCATAAGAAAGGTAAATTATCTATAGCCAAATTGTCTTGAAATAAATTTTTTATTAACATTTTTACATTTGGAAAAATTGCGT